GTGCTGTGCTTGGTCACACGTCGTGAGGAGTTTGTTCCTCTCTCTGTTGCAGCAGCAAACCCCTCTGGCATGTTAGCAGAAGCAAGGAAGGAGCTGCTGGATTTTCACCTGTAACTGTGTATTGCTTTTTCCCCCCCCACCCCCTCCCTGCCAGGGTTCTGCAGTGCTCCCGGCAGCGAGTTGTGAAGCAGGATGGGAAAAAGACGCTGTGTTCCTCCACTTGAGCCCAAGCTGGCAGCTGGCTGTTGTGGGGTGAAGAAGCCCAAACTGTCTGGGAGTGGAACGCACAGTCATGGGAATCAGACCACAACTGTACCAGGCTCCAGTTCAGGTCCTCTTCAGAACCACCAGCACACAGACGGGAATAATGGAAGGGAGAACGTATCTGACTTGACTTTGGGCCCAGGAAATTCCCCCATTACTCGAATGAATCCCACTTCAGGAGCTCTGAGCCCACTGACTCGGCCCAATGGAACTGCCAACAGCACCAAGAACCTGGTGGTGACAGCGGAGATGTGCTGCTACTGCTTTGATGTACTCTACTGTCATCTCTATGGTTTCCCTCAGCCACGGCTTCCTCGATTTACCAATGACCCCTAGTGAGTACATCCCTGGGAGGAAAGCTGGGAAACAGCATCCAGAGCTGTGGTTTGGTCGGGGAGGGATGAAGGGTTTGCTCTGGGGAGTGGGAGATTTGGTGTGCAAGAGGAAAGGGAGTGTTCTGCTGCTTGCTTGGTCTGCCAGGAACAAAAATGATGTGCTGTAAGTGCACAAGAGTAAAAGTATTCTGTTTGTTGGTGGAGATGAGTGAGCTTTGAAGAGAGGCCTTTAAGGGAGAACATGCTTTGCTCTACGGAGAGAGCTAGGCTAGGTGTGTGGAGGTGTGGTGCTTCTGCAGCTCACAGCCTGTGTGTTCTGTGAGATGTCGTGTCCTTTACTGAGGAATGCACACCCAGTTCATGGTAGTGTCCTGGGACAAGTCTGCCCTCTCCTTTCTTCGAGAGATTTCTCTGCAAAAAGTTAATTCAGCTGTGCCTCCTGTAAAATTGTACTTGAGGAACAGTAAAATAATGTTATTAATTTGAAGAGGATCCTACTCCTAATGTTAAACTCTAATTTGGTGAAGGACCGGGTATGTTATTAATTTGAAGAGGATCCTACTTCTAATGTTAAACACTAATTTGGTGAAGGACCGAGGAAGAGACTTCCTTCTGCAAAACAAATGGAAAGGGAATAAAGAACTTGAAATGAGTTTCCAGCTCATCCTGAAACAAATTAGACAAGGATGCTCACAGAGATGTTCAGCTGTCCAAGTGAATGGGTTTAACAGGGAGGGGAACCTAAAAATGGCCAGTTGTAGATGTTGGCAATGTGGGGAGAAATCACAGAATTGTTTAGGTTGGACAAACCTTTAAGATCATTGAGTCCAGTCATAAACCCAACGTTGCCAAGAGCGTTGACTTTCAAGGGTGATACCAAGGCTAGGAGGAAAGGAGACGTGAGGGACAGGATTTATGGAGCTGTTTTGCTTTGGTGAGATTTAGTTAACATTTATCTGAAGGTTGAATGTATAGGTGTGGAAATGTTAATGTTGTCAAAATACAAAGAACTATATGGGAAAGAATTATGACAGATACACCCTCTGACACCCCTCCAGGGGCCATCTCCAGAGCAATACGTAAAATAAAAAGTTGTTAACATCCTTAATTTAAGTTAATGAATTTTAAATTGATGTAAAGGAGCAATGGCTTAAACAGGTCAAGGACTTTTCCCATGTATTCAGTGTCTGCCCACCTTACTGCTGTCAGGCTGGATGTAGGTTGTACTTGCATGCATTTATTATCTGAGCAGGATTATGGATACATGTTCTGAATGCTGCTGCAGACTAAGCTGTTTAATACTGTAAATACAAATGAATGGAGAAACGCTCTGGACTAGAATATCGAATAGTTCCAGGGACTCCCCAGGCTGAAGCATTTCTGCTGTTCATACCTACACTGGGGAGGCTCTTTCAGAAAATTTCATGTTAGTCTGCCTATTATTTTGTCTCTTGAAATGCCAAGGGCTTTTGTTGTTGTTGTTCTGTTAAGTCAGTAGGAGAGATGGTTTTATAAGCTGCATTCTTTTGGTGTCAGAGGAGATTTCTGGCTGGATATTGTTGCCTTTTCTGCTGGCTAGTTTCAAAAAGGACATTCTTTGGGGAGTATCCGCTGGGGGAATTTTACGCCCAGACTGGAAAAGTTAAAAGTTGTTCATTGGGTGTTTCTGTGCTCATAATCACAAGGCCTTTAGATCAGCACACCAAAGCATAAACAGCCCTTCCTTCTTCTTCCCCTGTGGGCAAATGCTTACCTGAATTTTCTTGTGTTTCAGCATCTGTGCTGTTGGTTCCAGTGCATAGTTGGATGTAGCCCAGGGAGAAGCATGGGATTTGCAGCACACAGGGATGATCTGTCCCACTTGAGACAGTCACGTAATGAACTTCAAGCCAACTGTTATCAAACGTAAGAGTAGGCAAAGTGAGAATACATAAATAATTTGCATTGTTGTCCTTTATGACAGCCAGTGTAAGAAATCTTTGAACAAAACAAAGGTTGATACGTGAAGTCTCTCCACAGACAGAGAAGAGACTGTTGATGGAATAGAAAGTGGCACAACCTATTCTGGATAACAGATCTTTTAAAGTGGTGCTGAACCCTAAAGTAAAGATAAAAGTAGGTGTGAAGGTCAGGATTGGGTATGCACAAAGTAGTCACGTAAAAGTTACAGAGTTGTGACTTGAAAACCAATGTGAATTTCATACTAGCCTGAGAGAATGTGTACATGGACAACAGTCTTGATGGGAATTATGGAGCTGGTAGGTACCTGTGGAGTGAGGTTCCCTTGTTTCATTGTTGGCAGTGACATTCACAAGTCAGTGGTGAGACAGTAGCACTGCAAGACTTGTAGTTATGTCTGAATTAACTTGGTAAGGGGAAAAAATCCTCTTTGCTGTTCGGGGTCCTGGAGGAAATAACAATCTGAAATCTGTATGTCATGCAAATATTTAATTGGTTACTTCTGCCACTTTTGTACTTCAGTGTTTGATTTTTTTAATAGTAGGTGTTACAAACTTGTGCTAAAACTATACCATGGAAGTTCCTAGTTGCCACATGACATATAATAAGATATTTGCATCATTAAATCTGTTCTGTACCAGGTTTTTCCCTAGTACAAGCTGAACTCTGATTTGAACAAACTGTATTTTTCCACTTTAAAATTCCCTTTGTAGCTGCAATTGGAGAAGCTAGTTTTTAGTTGCTGAAATTCCCCTCTCAGCCTAGAAACCTTCATCAAGCACACCTAAGTGGGATGTTGTGACTGGGGACAAACAGTTGCCATAATTTGCTGCGGATATGACTGCAAAGTACTGGTAAGTGCTCTTGGGTGGACAAAAGATTGTTGTGACTTTTCCCAGTACATCTGGGAAATACAGTTTTCAAGGAGGGGCCCTGGAACAATGGACTTACTGTCAGCTGCACCTGCAATTTGCTGAGTGCATTTGTTCCTCAGAGACAGAAACACCTTCTCTGCAGTGAAAATAGTGACATTTTCTATACATGTAGAAAATGGAAAATTTTTTTTAAGCCTCAGTTGTTATGACCACAGTGAAAAATTGTTTAAAATGTACTTTAAGGTAGTTTAAAATATAAGAGTCTTCTAAATGCGATTATCCTGTCCCTTCTGATAATATCTCTTGAATTATAGCTGCAGAAAGCTGTGTCACAGCTCCGTGGAAACGTGTGGCTGTTTTTCTCCCTTTGGAAGGAGAAGAGGTGAATTGAAAATGTGAACATACAATTGGAATCGAAGGGGAACTTACTTAGATTTGTATTCTGTCAGTGCTGCTTTTTAATTTCTCCCTTGCCTTCTCTGTTTGGGGTGAGTGTCACTTGAGCTAAGCAATGGTTTCAAAACTTTCATTAGATTGGGGCAAATTTCCACTGAGCTTGTGACAGTTGTGTTTCTCAGACATCTCCTGTGTAAGTTTAGTATCTTTTTTTTTTTTTAAAGCTTTTTAATGCATTTTCTTATGCTCTGTTCCTGTTTTCTCTTTCAACATAGAGTAGATAGATGAAAGTGTAGAGAAATAATGTTCTCCAAGTACCTTGAAGTGTTGTTGGAAAACTGGAACAGTAAATCCCCTGTCTTGGGCAAGCAGGTGGCTGATGGATGTGGAAAGATGTTTCTGCTTCCTCTGTGGTCAAAGTCCTTCACAATTACAACTTCATAGAATCATAGAATTTTAGGGGTTGGAATGGACCTTAGAGATCATCTCGTTCCCCCCCTGCCCTGGGCAGGGACACCTCCCAGCAGAGCAGGTTGCTCAAGACTCATCCAACCTGGCTGTGAACACTGCCAGGGTTGGGGCAGCCCCAGCCTCCCTGGGCAACCTGGGACAGTGTCTCACCACCAGAACAGGGAAAACTTCTTCCTAATCTCTAATCTAAATTTTCCTCTTTCAATTTATCCCCATTACCCCTTGTCCTGTCACTGCAGTTCCTATCAGAGAGTCCCTCTCTGGCTCTGTGTAGCCCCTTCAGACACCGAGAGGTTGTTATGAGGTCTCCACACAGCCCTCTCTTCACTTAAAGGTTATTTGCTGTTCTGGGTTGTACTTCTGTCACTGGTCACAGCAGTAACTAGATCCTGAATGATGGATTCATGCAGTGATAGATTTTTACTTCCATTGTTGCTGTGAGGGACATTGCTGGGCATTGCTCTATCACTACAGCTATATGACATAAGAAGCTCTGTTGCTGGTTTTGTTGTCTGAACTGTGTCATAGTATTTTTTGTAACGTTTGCTGCAAAGATGCTTTGCTTACAAGTGCTTCAAGAGTCTGAGGAAAGTCAGTGTCTGTGCTGTGGAATCAGTCTTAATTGTTCAGAACTCCTGTCAGTGTTTGGTTAATCTCAGAAAATTATTTTCTTAACTGCACATTTTCTATTGTATTATTTAAAGTTCAATGGAAATCCACAGGGTAATGTTTGGAATTGCCAATGACAAGTTTCTTATTTGTGCTTGGCTTGGGAGGGCCCATGTCTTGTGTTCAGTACTCTGTAATCTGAACAAGCCATAGAATCATTCAGCCTGGGTTTGTAATTTGATCAGCATCAGCAGTTGCCTTACAAAATTTTCCAGATATTTGGACATTCTTGTAGAGCTGCAGCCACCACTGTCCTTTCTTTAGTGTTTCTCTCTACAGCTGTTTGCAATTTCATTCACTTCTACAGAAGTTCATTTTTTGTATGTAATGTTCACAGTCATCCTTACCTGTTTATCTCTGCATAGAGCTCTGTTGTTCTGAACTCCTTGTTGTTTAAGGCTTAATCATGACTTCAAGTTTAACAGCTTGAAAGAAGCCTGCTGAGTTGGAGAATCTGCTGTTATGCCTGTAAATTCATGATAGTAGACAGAAAAATGGAAATCCAGGTGATGTTTGAGTAGGAAC